GCCGAAAGAGAGCATCGTAGAAGCCTCCGCGACGCTGCCAAAGCTATACAATTGCCCCAATCGGGTAAGCGCAAAGCGTCAAAACCTCATAAGCCAGCTACAAAGCGTCAAAAGTGTGGTGGTGTTGCTCCAGCTGTGGTGGGAGCCGCAAGGGTTGCACGAGCTGCTCCACCGCGTAGTCGACGGCAACGACCGATAACGCCCTCCAAAAAAATTTCTGAATAAGCCAAAACTTTTGTAGGCCTGTATATAGTATAATCCTAGCTTTGCGCAATTTTATTACGATTTGTGGTGGCTCTACAGCCTCATCTTGTTGACTATATTGAGTTGTTGGGGGTGCTCAACTGGCGATGGTGCTCATCTGGTGCACGGGCACTGTAAGCAAGGGGCCGAATTGCCGTGCACATGTCGCCACTTACCCGTTAACACCGAATAGCACAGAAGTACCTTACACTCGACCAGCAACGTCGACATTTACATAAATCCACCGGATTTTTCCGTGGAGCAACACGTCTTGCGGCGGTCTACTCCTGGACTGGGCTGTGCTGGCAAAGCGCTGCTCGGGTTAGCCATTCGGCTCCAGACATTCCCCATCAACGTTGGAATACACCATGGACAGTCTTTCCGAAGAGCTTCTCGACCAAATCATTTCTGAGGCCGTCAGCCCCTTACCAAACCGCCATAGCGCTGGCTATCACGATCTGCTTAGTATATCCATGGTGTCACGCAAGTTCCGTCGCATCGTGGAGCCCTATTTGTATCGCTCTGTTGTCATATTCGAAAACAACAGAGACAAACTTTTGCGCACAACATTCAGTCGCACTGAACTCCCACAATACATTCGCGAAATCTTCCTGGCGCATTTGCATGATGTCGCTCGTGAAGCTTCGTGTCTTGCTGCGCGTTTCCCAAGTCTGCACAAGCTCGACCTAGACCTCACGTCCTGCAAACTGTCAGATCTTTTGCCTGTTCTGCAGCTACCATCACTAACAGCCTTGGGCCTCTCAGGTATGGTGGCCAGACGAATCGCCGATCCAGGCCCTGATGACTGGAGAATCACCAACACCGCCATCACTAGCCTCGACATGTCTTTTTCCGATCCCGCAGACTGGTGGGAGGATTGCAATGAGATTTGGAAATTCGCGGCCGTCTTTCGTAACTTGCGGATTCTGAGCATCCACAGCGACTACGAGCCGGAGAGAAAGCATGCCTTGAACGGGCCCGTTTTTCGGTGCCTGGTACATGCTTTCAGGCATGTCTTTGAAACAAGTCTTCGTTCCTTTACCTTTGGATACAACGATATACACCACGGCTACTTGCACCAGGGAGACGCAACAATCAGCGATGCGCTTGATGCGCGTGCGATACTCAAGCAATCGCACCTTGAGCATCTCAAAATCGATACCATGTGCTTGCATAGACCAAGGCAGACTGAGAATCTGAGGAGCTTGGAACTCGGCCCATCGTGCCTCCCATCGTCGTTGCGCACGCTTTACTTGCGCCACCTGGTCGCAGCAGGCAATCTCAATCCGATAGAGCGCAATCTGATGCATTCGGATGAGGCGCAGTGTTTATCTCAGCTGGTCAACTTGGGTACGCGGAGAGCGCGTTTTCCGCATTTGGACAAGATGGCGCTGGCCATCTCTCTGCCTGTCTTCTTCGAGGACGTTGCTGCGAGGATACTCAAAGTCCAAGCTCGTAAAGTAAAGCTACACCTAGAACTGATTCTGATGTGGGTAAGCCCAGGAGGTTGGTGCTGACAATGGCTGACAACGAGCAGGTCTGCGTGGGACTACGTTAGTGACGATATCACAAGATCCTGGCCCGAATATGATGCTATTCGGGATCCACGACAGCCCTTCTACGATCCGACACTTGTACGCTGTGCTTAGGTACTTTTGCCTTGAGAATATCCAAAGAGTTCAATCCTACTCCTGCTGACTAGTGTAGTCTTTGTTATTTCATCTTCTCTTCTCCTGAGTGAACATCAAATCAGAAGATGTTATTTCTTGAAGCACACGTATTGGAAGCCTGCATTGCACTGGCATTATAAAAATAGAGTCCTGAACATTTGGCCTGGTAGAAAGTAACAGAGATTGAGTACCTCGACATCCTCCAAGCCACTACCAGGCAGCAATACTCCAAGTTGTTTATCGGTGGCATTGGTTTGGATGTAAGCATGACGGCGTACGGCATGTGTACATAGACACGTCGGCGTTGCATACAGTGGTCAAATTTAGGTGTCAAGACCCGATTGGCTGATCCGTACGCGACCACCAATTGCGCGGCCTCCAGCCACTATCAGCATCCACACAAGGCAGAATGACCCCGCCACAATGCGTCGCATCGAATACCGAATTGGTGTAATCACCAGACAGTGGTATTTGGGTGTGCAGTGTATACGCCGCTCTACATAAGAGGAGCGTTGCCTGCTTCAACCGGATTTCCCATCATATCTCCAGCACTCCAAACACTCATCGCACAAGATTTGACCTGGCCTAATATATTGACCACTAATACTTACCTACCTACCCGAAAATGTCCGACCAAAAGCCGCTCATGAACAACGCAGCACTGCAGCAACAAGCCATGACACGCCCCAGCATGCGCAACCCCGTCGGCGGCGGCCTCAAAAAGGGCATCGACAGCCTTACGCGATTGCTGGAGCGAAAAATCGATCGACAAATCCTCACCGTTCAGACGCGAGCTTATGACGCGTCAGCGCCATCTCCAGCGCCGCCCGCCAATGCCGGCACTAAACATATTTACTCGTAAAAAAAACACAAAGGTTGCCGACAGGCGGAAAGAGACATGGCCCAGGACTCGCGGAAAAAAAACAGAGTCAACCGGAGGTCGCCGGTGTGTCGCGGCAAAAAAGCAGATTGCGCTTGGGACTAGGGACTCTGCGGGCTGAGCACTGGCGTTTTCCGGATGCCGAGTCGTGTGGCATGTATGTACATGCTTACTCGAGTGCAAGTGTGTATATACCGAGGGGGTTTATGATTACACCGAGGAGGATATTGCATGCCGTAGGGCTAGCCTCCGTATCTATATTGAGAGGGCCGATTAGTAGATTCTCGGACTTTGAGTGCGAGACGGCGGAAGAGGAGGATGGAAGACGGGTGCGGTCCAGGGTATCATGAGGCGGGATGGGAAATGAGACAGCGTAAGGAGATATTTTGAACTCAAAGGAGATGGGGAAAGGACGTCTTTGGAAGGGTTAGTGGCACATGTTGGTTGAACTTGGGGAACTGCAGTTGTTGCGAAGGAGATGATCTTCGCAAGACGTCATGAAGAGATGTAGATAGTGTATAGGATAAGGTGGATGTACATAGTGTTCAAATCATTTAGAAGATTGGGTGTAGAACTCTGATCTCTTGCATGTACGATTGCTTGCAATTGATTACTACGTCTTCATCTTACTCTTAGAGTGCTAATAACGTATTTTTTTACCTTTTGTGATTATCAATGTCGCCTACCGACCCTTGCTGTGTAGTGACCTGCAGTAGAGCCTCACATCAGCATTGGTCATAGAGACAGTAATTGAATGAGAGTAATAAAGCATAGTGCAATGCGGCATTAGTACAAAATGAATCTGGCCTTTACTATGAATTAATCAACTCGGCTGTGCCCTACCTCATTGAGTCATGGTCAACAAATCCAAGTACCTGGAGAGAGCAATTGACGCCATCAATCACCACTCCACAAGGCAGATACCGAACAAGGGTACCCGTTGATTCAACTAGAGTTCTAAAACAAACCCGTTACACGTAATGATACGCCATGGACGCAGCAGCAAGGACATGGTGCCTTGTTCGAGTGTAGTCCTCGCTAAGCCCAACCGCCACTGCCTCGTCGCCTGAGCATGGATGCGTGATTATTCAACGAAACACTGGCTAGACCACCGGAGAAGCCTCACGTCTCCGGTCCAAAAACCCGCAGCCGAATCTGCATCTCTGTACGAAGCGGCGCGAAGACTGTTGCACTGGCGGAACCGACCGGTGTACTGTACACAGCCCAGACCAGAGTCGCACGGCATGCCCAGCACAGCCGGCCGACCGCCCGCGTCTGCTAGTCGCCCAGCCTTTCCGCCCGCCCGCCCGCCATGTCATGCCATTACACCACCACCCGGCCCAGCCGTTGTCGGGAAAAAGAAATCAGCTTCGACCATCAGGCGTGCAAGCATACAATATTGCTTTCCCTGCATGTCATCCATCGATGCGCAGCCAAACGTGCGTGTATGTATGTGTTATGTACTATGTATGTCCAGGTAGGTGTATGCCCAGACATGCTTGCGCTGCAATATCCCGACGACGTCGCTGCATGCGCCGAGAGCCTCTAGAGCTGCGCCTCCCATGGAAGCGGGGGCATCACCAAGTCGGTCCATCCAGTCGGCGGGATGACTCGCATAGCCCAGGCCCACTCGTTTCACCGCTTCATAGCCCATGCCGGTGGAGTAATCGCTTGGTTTAACATTGCTTACACTATATACACGAAATATCTGTGTACTTTCATCAAGTTAGGTTCTTCCTTTTCAGATTCGCATTGGTGGTTTAGTGGTAAAATTAGCCGTTGCCATCTCTTGAGATCAATTCGGCTAGCCCCGGGTTCGATTCCCGGCCAATGCAATTCAAACATTCTTTTTTTTGTCTTTTTGATAGTCTGCTTTATCGTGGAAGGATGGCTAAGGGTAAGGGGTAGTTGACCTGTGTAGTCTTTTTGATATTGACGGTGTAATAAGTTTGTAGCGCTTTCTACTTGTCATATTAGAATTGTCACATTTCTGAAATGTTTTTTGCTATTCTACAGTTTTGGACATGGTAACCAAGCAACAGTCCACGTGATCAAATTGGACGACATAATAAGAATGGAAGACCTGTTTTGTGTAGATACATCCATTGACAATATAGCTATTCAATTCGTCTTTCCTAGTTCTACGCTGCACAATACTAGGCTGCTGCTGATAGACATATGGCATGCGTGTAATGCATTCAAGTGTCGTTGTACCGCACATACTATCCTCTCATGCCGTTTACATAGGTCATCTTCCCTCCAACTGCTATAAGATCCAAATAAGGATAACCTGTTTCAAGTCTTGATCCCTGATAGAGTGTATCTCAAAGCCAGCAAAAATGCTCGAGGTATATTGTCCCTTCATTGCAGCCCAGGCCTCACGCAGTGTACTCACCACTGGACAACCATATCGTTGCTTTTTTCAGCTCCAAGTGGCCCAAAAATTTTATTCAAACTCACAATACAAGAAAATGAATTCATCTTGTCTCTCTCGGTCGTTAATAGTGTCAAATGGATTTGTGCGCGGTAGATATATAGGTAATTCGCGAGCCCACGTATATCCGCAACCACGCCACCATATCACTCAATTCAGTGCACTAAAGACCTGGCCACTACTATCCAAGTCTAGAGACCCCAAAAAATTTCACAAATTCATGTATACTGGCGCTGTGGTTGTCCAAAACACAATGGAAAAATATCCCACTAGTCCGTATGTGGCTAGCGCCTCGTGACGATAGTCGAAATGTCGAAATTCAGTTCATCCACCATTGACCGCCGACGACAACGACACAACCAAGCCCCACACCCAACACCCCGCCTCTACCTACACATCAAGCACCATGGAGAACGAACGCGGAGAGCTCGTTGACCGTAAGAGATGCCCTTGCTGCGCGCCGCGGCGGGTGGTGTTGTGCCCATAGGGCCACCCCGCCAGCGCGCACACTGCCCTTACGAGCCATCGCTAACTTCTCGCAGTCTACGTCCCCCGTAAATGCGTGAGTGCCTGTCGGACAGCTACGTGAAGCATCAGCGCAATGCTAACCCGTCCAGTCGGCCACCGGACGCATCATCAGGGCCAAGGACCACGCCTCTGTCCAACTGAGCGTTGGCAAGGTTGACGAGAACGGCCGCTACACGGGTGACAACCAGGTCTACGCCATCTGCGGCTTTGTTCGTGCCATGGGCGAGTCCGACGACAGCTTCAACAGGCTCACACAAAAGGACGGCTTCCTCAAGTCTGTCTGGAGCGCGTCTCGCTAAGCGGTTGGGGTTATGGGTGGAGGTATGGAACACGGCAACGCACAAGGGAGACGGCAGGGGCTGATTGAAAGTAGGAATTCGGCATGTCGGATCTCTTTCGAAGACGGATGCATTTTGTGGCTGAGGCCTCATTTCCTTTCTCCTACGGACCAACGATATCACGAGGACTGGGAACCGGTTGAGATACGAAGACTATCGAATTCAAAAATCCTGTTTACGACCAATGCTGCCATGCGTATGAGTGTCGCGATTGTGGTACGCTGGGTGCGTGCATGCTGTGCAGCGTAGATGCCAACCTCACAGGTCATGCTAATTGAGCCTGGCTGCGAAACGTTATCAGTGACAATAGATGCGTCTTTCGGAAGTGTTGCTCCCTGCTCGGCTCGGCCACACACATTGCTTGCCAACCGCAATGCGGCTTCTTGCCGATACGCATTCGTGTTCTGCTGCATCAGTATCGACAAGGATTTCGGAACTCAGTCATGTAATGCTGTAATCCCAGCCTTGACAATCAAGGTGCGACTGACCACGTCATGTTATCTGCGCGATACCGTCCGTCACGCCTCATTAAGTTGTACCATGCCGACGCCGGCACCAAATCGGCAACTCGAGAGCATGTCATGTCTCGCTACGTGGCTTTCCTATATCATCTGCTGACATTCACATAATACAGCGCTGATAGCAGTGCATGTATACATGGGCTAGGATTCTAAAGTACATGTGCTAGCTACACGGCGCAGGCGTAACATGCCTGTCGAGCGTGGAAGACCGTTGTACCCTTTTTTGGTGTCAAGTGAAACAGCCGCAGCACACGTCGCTAAACCACAGGCCTCCCCCGGCCAAAACTATCGCATCGTGTCGCTTGTGCGTCAAGACAGCCTTTCTTATAGCCGAGACTGCCGTACAACGTTTGTCGACGCCAAGCGACGAGGTCTAGACGCACTCGTGTGTGTGTGTGTGTGCACCCTTTCAGCCCGTTCCGGAACACATGCCGCCCACGTATGTGTGGCCGAGCTCGATAGCCGAGCGGATATGTACGTATGTATGTATGTAGACATATAGCGTGCAGATGGATGGATGATGAGCGGTAGCAATAGTATGATTCAAGTAATTCCAACCCTATCCAATAGCCATTGTACCGACCGAAGGGGAAAACAAAAATCAAACCTTGGCCCTTTTTTTCCTCCCCCTCCATCTTCGACGAATCAGCACCCATGGAGTCCGCTTCATTATTCTGTTTTCTACATACCTCGACTCACATTGACTTTCCCCCCCCCATCATGGCCAGCCCATTTTGCGCTTTCTTGGCTTGATTTTCTGCATCTTCCTCTTTCTCTTTTCGTCCAAGTCCCTTTCCCCCGCGCCTTTGCTGCATGGTGCTTGTGGTGCTCCGTAGTATGTACGTGCAGCCCCCATGCCAACCACGCTACACTGCATTTTCCGCAGGCTGACGCGGGCATCTCAACAAAACGTATAGCCTTTTTTTTTGTTTGTTGCGGGAACATCCGGTAGCTTGTAGTTGTGGTTGTGCTGTGCGGGGGAGGAGAAGGCGGTGGCGGCGCCGCGCGCGCGCGGTCCGCTGCAAGTGTGCACACACCGATTCAAGGCGAAGTGCACCGATCGAAGGGGTAATGAGAAATGCAGAAACGGGTGACATTTATTAACGATTTGACCATGATGGAAATTATGGATACAGCAATTTCACGTACATCAAATAGAGGGTTTTCTGCCTTCTTCTCATTCATGGTGCTACCGCGTCCCCAAGCATCCCATCGTCGATGGCGGGATGCCTATCGCTCATAAGCTTTTGGGGGCGAACAACAAAAAAAAGGAGGGGGGAAAGAGACAGGATATACATGCTATACGCCGATAAGCCGATATATAGCTTCTAATCCATGATTCATAATGCGGTGTCTTTGATGAGGATCCCAACAATTCTGCGATTGACACTTGAGTTGTCGGTCCAGGTACATACATAGGTACGGTAAGTATGTATATGCGGAAGGGCAGGACTGGGCATTAGAGGGAAACTTTATGGAATGGCTGTCGGTATGGTAAGGTTTGAGACTGACCGATAACCTCTTTTTTGGCGTGCATAGATGGGCATGGGTGGGGGCGGATGTGGTAAGACTGTAAATGCACAGAAAGAGAGAGAGAGTGTGTGTGTGTGAGAGAGAGAGAGAGAGGCATAGTTCACCATCATCATCTCTAAACCAACTCTGTAAACACACCCGGTATCCTAAAAAGAAGGTCCGAATGTCAAGCTTCGAAAAGAAAAAAGAAAAGAAACATTCATGTTTACACTTTCTACAGCTGTGCAATGCCCAAGTATATGTATTTGACTTTTGCCAAATTTTTTTTTGACTTTCGCTGTTACTTGGGCTCTTTTTTTTCTTTTTCTTTCTCGCTCAAAGACTAACAAACGTACATGACATAACATAGCATTCCTACTTGAAAAAAAAATGATAGAGTTGGAAAACGATAAATAGGTCATACTTACATGTCGATCGCTTTGCGCGCGCAAAGCCAAAACGCGAAATGCGAAATGCGAAAAACGCCGCTGGAACAACAAGGACAAGGATACTGACAATGAGACTGATAAACGATGAAGAAGAGAAATAGAGAAAGGGAGAATACAGACAAAATCATTGCCATTGTCATTATTATTATTATCATCACACCAACTCCATAATTCCAAATAAATATATTGCTATTTGATACTTTTTAACCGGGGGGGGGGGGTTGGTTGGTTTCTTATTTTTGTCGTGCTCACTAACTAAGTACTTACTGTACTGTACTTACTTATAACACCGCACCGCACCGCACCGCACCGCACCGCTAAGTAAGTATTCCAATGGATTAAAAAGCGTGTTCTGTGCAAAAAAAAATTTTTTGGTTCAAGTACCTACGTAGTGTACTCGTTGCAGGTGCGATTACAAGAGGGAAGGGGGGGGGAGGATAAAACTAAGGGGGGCATGTTTTTCTTTTTTTTTCTAGCGCGGTGTAGAATTGTAGGTGCGTGGGTAGATGGAGTTTTGTGTGTGAATGTAAGTGGGAATGAATATGGAGAGGTAGGTGTGAATGGGAGGTATGTAGGTGGGTAGGTGCGTGGGTATGTAGGTAGGATTCCCGAGTCGAAAGTTTGCATGTGACCTAGGTGTAAGGTTAAGTATCGTGTATTCTTTCCCCTTCTTTTCTCCTCCTCCTCTTAACCTCTCTGTGCCAATGACAAGAATAATAATAGGTGCGAATAAAGTTTTGATGATTTCATTGTACGAAGATGAGGTGGGACAAATAAGTGTCTGTAAAGTAAGTATGCATGTACACCTACGTAAGTGTATATAGTAAGTAAGGGCGTTAAATAAATTAAAAAAAAAGTTGTCAAGGAATGAGGTGAAGTGAGTAGCGCGCGACGACAAGCGCATGCAAGCGTGTGCATGTAAGCAAGGCATATAATTTGCCCAAAAAAATTTGTTTATTTTTTTTGTTTGTTTGGAGATTTTTTTTGGTTTTGCGCGTTTGCGCGTTGGGGAAGGGGAGGGCAGAGGGGAGGGCAGAATCAGACCGACTGGCTGGCTGGAACGTAGCTGGACTGAACTGAATGCATCAATGGATGGATGGATGAATAGTCAGAGCTAGAAAAGAAAGGAGAGAAAGGAGAAAGAGGGAATTGGAGTAAGTTGGTAGATTTCCAATGTATGTGTCATTGTACTACGATAGACTGTATACATCATGAGAGTTTTTTTTCATTATTTGGAGTTAGTTGGAGTTGGAGTGCGTTGGCTCGCAACATGGTGCTGCTTACGGACATGAGATTTCCCCCCCCCCTCCTTTTCGCTGTATTGCGATAGATAGATAGATAGGTGGAGAGATAGGAGCCGATAAACGAACAGGGCAGACAAGGGGCATAGATACATACCATACCATACCCGCCTCGCCATGTCCAAGGCCTTGGGTTTTTCCCCCAATCTCATTGCCCCAAAGTAAGCTGGGGGGTTCAAATCTTGAAAATCAAGGAACACACTTCGGATGCTTCCGATGAGAAACCCACTACAGTCAGCAAACAACCTCGTATTTTAGCATGGCCAATTTTTTTTTCCTTGGAAAACATAACAAGCCTTGTAGCGAATGACAGGCCAACGGACAAGGGAGGGGGGAGGGGGGAGGGGACTCAGCGATATACCCGCCTTTCGGTTACCGAGAAACACGTGGCGGGACCCGCAACCAAATACCCAACACACATATCAAAGGTAGGCAAAAGCTGTCCCATAGCCCGGGGAAGCGGGTTAGACTTTTTTAAACCATGCGCGTGCTTGCACATGTTGGCCCGCATACAGGCGGTGTGATTATGCATACGGTGCGGACAGCTTTGTGTAAACATTACCTTTTGGTGTGCAACCATGTAATTTTTTTGCAAACTAGTATATGATGTCAGACCGCTTTCCCGAGTATTTCCTCAAACATGGGGTGTGGCAAAAAATTCGCATCGTCGGGTGGAGCTACAAGCGCGGCCGCCATGATGTAGTAAGGTGTCAAGCGCCCGAAGGAGAAAACGGGCCGGCAATTTGACTGCCGCTCGGATCCCGCAATTGGATCATGGTGCGGCATTTAGACGACTCATGTTATATTTTTTTTATTGTCTACGAGTCGGCGTCGTGGTTCCGGAGCTGGGATGGTGCGAATGATCCGGTATGGTATCCAGGGCAGCATTTCGGACGGCCGAAACCGCTCTGCTCTCCTTGACCTTCCAGTCGTCCCCTTTGCGGACCAGCTTGGATCGGTCCTTTTCCGCCTTCTTGAGAAGTATCTCTTCCATCTTTGCATCCCGCCGACTGCCCTGGACGCAGTCGCAGAGACAGCCTTCGGTCGGGCACGCACCCTCTGACAAAACCAGGTCAGCAAACCATGTCGAGAGGCAATTGGCGTGTCCACCATGCCCACATAGCGGGCACCACGTCCATAGCGTGGCCGTAGGCGGAGACCACTCCGCCGGGACAGCTGGCGATGGGACAGCATCGCGATCGCCTTGCAGGTCTGGATGTGAAGCAACAGACGATCGTGGTTTGGTATGCCCCCGGTCCTTGAACATGGAGCGTGACTTGGCCTTGGACTTCTTCGCCGTGAGCGCCTCAAACGCCGGGTATTTGGCCCAACAGATTGGGCATGGCGCCTGTGTTCGCTTACACGACTCACAGCGCATCTTGTCTTTCGGGTTGTTAATAGGCGACTTGCAGCTGAGGCACAGCAGCCCAAGCTGGGTCTCCTTGAGCGCTTGCTCATATACAGCGGGATAGGTCGGATACGCTAGTCGGCGAAGCGTCGCCGCCGAATTAAACAGTGACAACGAGTGCAGCTGTGCGTGGTACGTGTGAAGTATCGACTCGGCTTGGTACGGATTGATACCTGTGGCCATGAGCTGGCCTAGTTGGGTGGAGAGAATGGCCTTTGCCTGTGCAGGGGTCAGCCCAAGCGCGACAAAGGTGTCGGTAAAGGCGTTGAGAACATCGCCGACACTGGTACTGGCGTCATCCGTGGGGCTGTGTGTCTGCGGGAGAAGAGGCCCGAGAAGCAGAAGGAGGATGGAGCAAAACTGCGCATCCGACGCCTTGGTATGATACGCAAGAAGGCTGTTCAACAAGTCGACGGCGGAATATGGCCATGCTACTTCCGCGTCAACATGCATAGCCGTAAAATCAGACAACAGCAGGCCATCCTCCGTAGAAGGATCGAGTACCGGAGGCGCGTTTCCGCATGCATGCGGTGGCAGGGGCACAGGTGGCTTAGGAAGCGATCTCACATCGTCTGACGCGTCAGGCACAATCGTCCCGCTAGCCTCCATATCTGCATTGTAGTCAAACGAAGACGAGGATATGCTGGTGAGGGCCTCGGAATCGGAGCTGTCTTGGCGAAGCAGCTGGTTGTTTCGTCGCAAGTGTTGCATGTCCCGAACCAGCCGCTCTCCACTGTCAAACGCATCTGCGTGGCTCGTATGGGTGAAGCCTTGTGGATGCTGATCTGTGTGGGCTTTCCCGCCAATGGGAACGGTCGTGGGCGATATGGGTATGCTTCTACCTAATTCGTGTTCAGAGCTTCTTGGCTTGCCAAAGCTAGAGTGCTCCGAGACAGCCTTCCAATCCGATGGCGGGTTCACACGATTTGACTGCGAGTTTCCACTGGCAAACGAACTAGGCATTGAGTTGCCCTTTTGGGAACCCGAAGAGGCCGAGAACATGGTAAAGCTCTCGCCAGAATCATGCCGCTCTAGCGTATGAGGCATGTTGATGTTCATGCCCTGTGCACTGCTTGGTGTCAGACTCAGCGGGATACGAGGCGTTGCTCTGTAGCTGCCGCTTAGGGCACGACGTTCGTCCAGACCGTCGCCAGAGGGGTACCACTGAGGACCGCTGAAAGGTGTGTGTGCAGGCACCAGCGAGCTATTCGTTGCTGCAGGTGGTGGTGGTGGTGCAGTGACAGCTGGCGGGAGCTGGTCCATGTCCTCTTGGTCAATATCGAGCAAATCAGGTCTTTTCGAGTCATTGGCAGTGCTGGCGACTACTGGACGGGCAAGAGGGGTTGAAATGTTGGAAGTACTCTCCACTACCACGGGTGCGGGCTTCTCCACGACACCGAGAATGGCGCGCACTGCAGGATTGGGCGGCGCTGCCAGCCGCTTGTCGTGGACTGCCATGTGCGCCAAAGACGCTGTTTCAAGCAGCTTGCCAGACGACACGAGTGCTGGAGTGTGAGGGTGCAACCTTCGTTGCTGTCTGTGTAACTCTGCTCGGCGCCGTGTCGCCACAGCGATCGATGTGCCCACAACCCTCCATGACTGGGCGAGGCGGTGGTACGCAGCGCGCTGTGCATATTCGGCGTTTTGCTCAAAGACGCGCTCCAGGCGCAGAAACGAATCCAGGTCAGGAGGGTCAGCGAGGGGTATGCTTTTGTACTTGTGCGCCAAGTAGGCAAAGACTTGGGTGTTGATTGCGCCCGGCAGCATGCCGCGTATGGCAGTCTGATTGGGCCTGAAGGAATCGCTGTGTGTGACCATGGAGTCACTCAAGATCATAACTTTGGGGCCAATGTCAGAAGGTGGCGTGGTGCTAAACGACTTGGTCGACCTGTTGCTAGCCGCGCGCACATGGTGGCGCTTCATGGTAGACGTCAGAAAACTATCGTCCAGACTGTCGTCTGCCGAGTTGCGCAGCATGCCTTTGCCAGGGCCATGGCGCCTGTCACGTGGATCACCGAGGTAGGCCTCGTCAACATAGGCGAGCCCTGCAGAGGAGCGTGGCCTAGGCCGTTTCTGGGCAACGGCGCCGACCTCACCCGTGGGGGATATGGCAAAAGCCTGCAGATTGCGGCGGTCAAGCGTCTTGGGGGCATGGTGGACATCGTTTTGCTGGAAGATGCCTTCCTTGCCAACAGTCCACAGAGTGTCACGTGAGTGCCAGAGCATGTCAGAGGGCGCTGTAGAGAAGCAGTTAATCTCTCGAAAGGGCAAGCAAGGGCGACGAAAGTCCCACACATGGATGGCTGCGTGTTCGCGGTCATACGACGTGGCCAGCTGTGTGCACTGGTAGACGCCGTGGTCGTCGTGGTCGTCGGACCAGTGCGGCGGTCGCCAGCGTGCCTTGTACACGGGAAAGGGCGTGTGCAAGACATAGGCAGCCTTCTGGCGGCGGCTGGTGATGGAAAAGTCCCAGACGCGGACGGTGCGGTCGACGCCGGCGCTGAGCAGATGCTTACCGTCTGGGTGCCAGTCAATCGAGGTGCAGATGCGCTGGTCGTGGGCGGTGATTTTCTGCTTGGGGCTCTTGGAGTTGCGAAAGTCCCAGCGCTGGATGGTGCCATTGTCGGTGCCAAAGGCAAACTCTACAGCGTCAGTGGGCGACCATTGGATGTCGCGGATGCCGCCGTTGATGCCATGGTACTGGTCGCGGCTGCGGCAGATGGCTGCGTCTCTGCGCATGTCACGCAGGTCCCAGAGCCGGACGGTCGAGTCGTGGCTGGCCGAGAGCAGCAGATGGCCCTGGTGGGGATTGAAGGCGAGCTTGTGCACCTGGCGCGTGTGCTCGTGCAGGCGCGTCAGCTCGACGCTGGCGCGGTTGAGGTCGTAGAGGATGACCTTGCCGTTTGCGGCGGCCGTGGCGATGTGGGAGCTGAACTGGCCGTGGGACCACTTGACGTCGTGGATGCCGAGGCCGTCGCGCTGGCGGGCATGGGCGTCGGCATAGTTGAGGGCGGCGGCGCGCAGATTGGTGTCGTCGACTATGCGGGCGTCGTGGACGCGGACCGTCTTGAGAATGTCCTTGCCGGCGAGCACGGCATGGGTGCGTTCGCGGTTGATGTCGAGGGCCGAGATGTCGAGGCCCGTCTTATGGCTTGCATGCTGCGACGAGCCGGTGCGGATGCTGGCGAGGCACTCAGTGGCATGGTCGGACACGGGGCGGGCGGACGAGGTGGAGGGGGTGGAGGTGGAGGAGGCGGCGGGGGGAAGGCGCGACGGACAAGCATGTATGGGTGGGTGGATGGAAGGGCGGATGGATGTATGTACCAGTATGTCTATGTATGTAGAGGCAGGCACAGGGGGGGGGGGGCGGCAGCCAATGGGGGCGGGGGTAAAGGCGGTTACGCGACAGGAACAGACATATGGCAGACGCAGGCAGAGACGTACCCGGGAGCCTTTGGCACTAGAGGGTTCGGCAGCCGGGCGCCGCCATCAGGCTGCACGCTCGGGGGGCGCGACGAGTAGGCCGTTGTCAAGGGCTGTGCAACGAAGCGCTCAAAGTATGAGCGTGGCTTTTTGGGCAGAGGCAGCGGCGGGGGGGCCGGCGGCATGGACGGCGAGGGCATGTTGTCGGGGCGGGGGGTTCCTGGGAGGAGGGGTGAGGGTGAGGGGTGAAAGGGGGGGGAGGGGAGCAGCGGCGGCGGCGGCGGCAGAGGGGCCAGACAGAGGGCAGAGGGCTGCTGCCGCCAATGCTACTGGCGGCGGCGGCGGTGGTGGTGGTAATAGTAGTAGGCGTCGTGTGTAGGCGTCGTGTGCAGGCGTGGTAGTCGTGGTGGTGGTGGTGGTGGTGGTGGGCCAAGCGGTGGAGACGGCGCAGCAGTGGGAGAGCGAGTGTCGCAGGCTTGGGGCGGCTTGGGCGCGGCGGCGGCAGGGCGAGGGGCGAGGGCTGGTCGTGGGCGGCGCGGTGGTGCGGCGGCGGTGCTGGCGCTGGTACGCTACCAGCGACCGCGACTGCACTGGGCTGTGTGTGGGCGGCGTGTGGGCGGCGTGTGGGCGGCGTGTGGGGGGTGTGTGGGCGGGCGCAGGCGCAGGCGCAGGTGCAGGCACAGGCACAGGCGGCTGCACGAGAGCACGCTGGGCCCATATGAGCTGTCGCGGCCCCGGTCAGTCGACACGCACACGCACAAGCAAAGCACCAGAGCTCCAAGGCTCCCAGCGCGCCGGGGGGCAGGCCCAGGTCCAGGTCCAGATGGAAATCGATCATCATGCACGGGCCGCCCTCGATCCCTGCTCTTGACGCACCTGCACGCGCGCCACCAGCTCCATTAGCTCTCGCCCACCGACGGCAACCCTCGCATCCACCATGTCACCGTGTTTCTCTTCTGCAACATCCTCCCCGTCTCTCCTCCCATCTCCTCCCACCACCGCCCCAAGTCGCCCTCTGTGAGCCTCCACCGCCCCGGCGAGCGCGCCCCCCCCTCCCCGCCCACGCCCGCCTGTCCACGACCCGCCACGGCCTCTGCCCCAGCGCCCAGACACCGAGAGAGGGAGCCCACGCTGCACCACGACGCCCACGACGACTCCTCTGCGCGCCCTCGTGCCCGCGCCCCCAACGCCCCGACGCCCTCGCCCTCGCCTCCAGCCCCGCCATCCACACAGCCACGCCCGCACCAGAGACGCCCGCAGAGAGTGAGACATACAACGTGTCCTCGACACCATGGCCGGTCCCCTGCCCCAGGCCGACGTCTCGGCGGCCCTCGATGAACTCGACGACCGGTGGGCATACGCCGGCCCTGCCCGCACCGCGACGGCCATCCTGCAGTACTCGTACCCCCTCGTTATGCTCTTCTTCTTCCTCACGGCCTTTACCTACCGCAGCATTGCAACCTCTAAATCTAATTCTAATATCGCCAAACCTACTACAACCGGCCCTGGAGGCAAGCCGCTGCCCGCAACAGACCCCACGCGCAATTTCGTCAAGAAGACGGCCCACGACCGCGTCACCCAGACGCAGAAGCGCCTGTTTGAGTGGGTGTCGCTCGCCGTCGCCTTTACCTTTGTCGGCAATTCCGTCGTTGTCGTCGCACATGCCCTCGTCGAGCAGCAGCAGCACTGGTGGGCTGGCAAAGCCGTCGTGGTATGTACACACTCACACACAATATGCCTGCGATCCGCCTACTGACCCGCCAGATCTACCTCGTCGGCTCCTTCTTCGTCTACTGCCTGTTTCTGATTTCGCTCATCGACTCGAAGCCTTCGCCCACCGAGGCCCATCTGGCAACATGGTCCCTGGGCACAGTGCTCGAAGTCGTCCTCGTCACGCTTTCCTTTGCCATCTACACGCACCCCCACAATGAGCCCACGGCAGGCCCGCCCCCAAAGCGCCTGCGCTTCGGCATGACCGACTGGGAGGCGGCCGAAGTCGCCATGGACCTGCTGCGCATCGTGCTGCTGCTCGCCCTCATCGCCTTCTACGTCCTCTTCGTAATCGTGCCCCAGCGCAAAGGCCACCAGGACCCGGGAACGCCGAGCGAGAGCACGTCACTGTTGGGTGGCGCTGACCAGAATGGCCACGCCGAGAATGGTCACGCGAACGGGTCTTATGGCTCAGTGCACCCCGTGGGTGGCAAGCACCAGCACACCGAGGGTGCACCGCCCGCCTGGAGCAGACCCACGGGCGCCCCTGCACGCAGCTGGTGGGAGTACATCAAGGGCTACCATGTCTTCTTCCCCTACCTCTGGCCCTCCAAGGACCGCAAGCTGCAGCTGGTTGTCGTCGCCTGTTTCATGCTCGTCTTGGCGCAGCGCGTCGTCAACGTCCTCGTCCCCGATCTGACGGGTGAAATTGTTGATCGCCTAAAAGACCCCCAGAAGGGCAACCCGTGGACCGCCATTATCGTCTATATTGCCTTCCGCTTTTTGCAGGGCAGCAATGGCCTGCTTGGCGCCGCGCGATCGGCCTTGTGGATTCCCGTTTCGCAGTACTCGTACCGCGAGCTGTCTGTTGCCGCCTTTGAGCACGTGCACAGCCTTAGTCTCGACTTCCACCTCGGCAAGAAGACAGGCGAGGTGCTTTCCGCCTTGGGAAAGGGCAGCTCCATCAACACCTTCCTGGAGCAGGTGACCTTTTCCGTGGTCCCCATGCTGATTGATTTGGCCGTTGCCATTGCCTACTTCCTCGTCCGCTTCGATGCTTACTACGCCCTTGTCATTGCCATCGTCACCTTCTGGTACATCTACCTGACTATTCGCATGGCGCAATGGCGCGCAGAGATTCGCCGCGAAATGGTCAACGCAGACAGAGAAGAAGACGCAGTCAAGTGAGTAGCCTCTACATTAGTTTCTTAAAAAAAAATCAGCTGACGCTTGCAGGAATGACTCAATGGTATCATATGAGACGGTCAAGTATTTCAACGCCGAAGCTTACGAGTTCAACCGATACCGGGAGGCTGTCAAGAAGTACCAGAACGCCGAGTACAAGGTCATGCTGTCGCTGAACATCATGAACATTACCCAAAACATGGTCTTCATGGTCGGCCTCCTCGTTACCTGCTTCATTGCAGCATACCAGGTGGCTATAGGCGACCTCGAGGTTGGCAAGTTTGTCACGCTGATCACGTACATGGGCCAACTGCAGAGTCCCCTCAACTTCTTCGGCACCTTCTACAGGATGATTCAGTCTGCCATGATCAACTCGGAGCGAATGCTCGAGCTGTTCAAGGAGCAGCCTACTGTGGTCGACAAGGAAAATGCGCAGCCTCTTGTATTGTGCGAAGGCAACCTCCGCTTCCAGGACGTGCATTTTGCCTATGACCAGCGCAAGCCCGCGCTGACAGGCCTTGACTTCCACTGCCCGCCCGGTACAACAACAGCTTTTGTCGGTGAATCTGGCGGCGGTAAATCGACCGTCTTCCGCCTGCTTTACCGTTTCTACAACACCATGTCTGGAAGCATCCAAGTCGATGGCCACGACGTAGAAGACTTGACCATTGATTCGGTGCGCAGTCACATTGGTGTTGTACCTCAGGACACTGTCCTTTTCAACGAGACGCTCATGTATAACCTCAAGTATGCCAATCCGCAAGCCACCGACGAACAGGTGTACGAGGCTTGCAAGGCTGCAAGCATTCACGACAAGATTATGACTTTCCCGGATAAATACAATACCAAGGTTGGTGACCGTGGTTTACGACTGTCAGGAGGTGAGAAGCAGCGCGTTGCCATTGCCCGTACCATTCTCAAGGACCCCCGCATCATCATGCTTGATGAAGCCACGGCAGCCCTTGACACGGAAACGGAGCAGCACATTCAGGAAGCCTTTACCACGCTGGCAAAGGGCCGCACAATGCTCATCATTGCTCATCGGCTCAGTACCATTACCCACGCTGACCAGATTCTCGTCCTGCACAAGGGCAAGGTCCAGGAGCGCGGAACGCATGAGGAGCTTCTTGAACGAAATGGACACTACGCTGCCATGTGGAAAAAGCAGATTCGCGCACAGCGGGCGGCCGAGCAGGCTCAATATCTCAAGGACAAGGCTGACAGGCTCCGCCGAGAATCCAAAGATGGAAACATTGGTCTCGAGGACGGAAGCAGCAGCCATTCCAGCTCTGATGATGAGAATGCTAAGAGGAGACGCTCCGCAGCGCAGAATGGATCACATCCAGCCGGAAGCTCTGGCAAACCACACGGCCACCCTTAGTCCGGCAGGCCATTGGTTTACTAAGAAAGCAGCCACTGAAACGTGGCCATGTATTATTGCCGTCAACAAGCACCATCAACTGAAGACACTATATGGTCAAGCATGGCCAGGAGAAACACTGGTCGGCCGGTTGCTGTAAGCATCCCTTCCCTTGGAAACGACTTCGTCAGCTGCCTTGATTTTGAAAGCAATGATTCGCATCTTTCCATTAGTCATACGTCCCATGTTTCTCAACCTCTGTTCTATAGATGCCTTTACGTTTTGTTTTGTTTTTTGTTTTTTTCATTGGAGTTCCTGGAATAGAAGAAGAAGAAGAAGAACAAAAAAAATGCTATTGTTCTGATGGACGTCCCCTGAAAGCGAGAGATGGACGAATCGGGAAAATGATGGGAGGTGGAAAAAAAAGGAGGGGGGGGGGGACACTTTGTATGAGAGAGACAAGGGGAAAACCCAGAAACAGAGAGAACTACTAGATAGAAACATTGCCGGAAAAAGGAGAAGAAAAAGAAAAAAGGCATGATGACAATGAGGAACAATCAAAAAAATCTTCTTCTTCTTGGTCTTCAAACTCATACCTACACATTTTCCATTCAAAATCGGTTCTCATTTTTTTTGCTGCCCCCCCCCTCGCGACATGAATACTCGTCTTTGTTTTCTCCCAAGACAGAAACCCACCCTCTTGCCTCCCCGTGTTTTGTGTATATGTGTGTGTGCGCGTGTGTACGCGAGAGCGTGTCTTTGGTATAAAACAACAGTTGAAACAAATCACCCCAGCCATCCGCCCGATACGCGCTTTGTTGATCCTCTTTTTTTCTTTGTAGCTTCTTCTTTTCTTTCTTTTCCGATCCTGACGTTGAAGAAAGACGGGAAGGAAGAAGAAAAAGACAAAGGAGAACCAAGCAACACCAGAAACTAAAAGCAAATCAAACCCAAAACCAAACCAAAATAATTCTCCATGAGCTCCCCCCACACCCCCCCCCCCAAGAAAAGATTTCCAAAACAGTCCGGTGGAAAGGCTTTTTGTTTTCTTTCTCAAGACGTTTGTATAACAGACATCCGACGACGACGAGATCTTCTTCTTCTCCCCATGTCAATGTCACATGTCAATGTCAGGTGTTATATCTCTCTCATTTGCAAGCTAGTGGGTGCGGGACTGATGTGCATGTGCAATGATGATATGTACAAAAGACGGGACCAAAGCAACAGTAACAACAAAGGGACTACTAGCACAAGGAAAAAAAAGGGGGAAAGGACATGGCCGTGCAAACACAGCAATTTCCATGTACCAAGTCAGATATATAAGGATATGAGAATATAACATATACAACAACAGCAACTAACACGGGGGGGTGTGTGCCAAATGGAGCCATCTCTCACTTATTCATTTGAAAACCTTTTTTTTTTCTCTTTCCCGATTACATAGGCTGGTTTTACATATGATTATTACTATAGAATAAAAATACACACACATACACATACACATACACATACACACACACACACATTTGAATTCCAGAATCATGGATAATACAGTCATGTTCATGCTCATGTTCATGCTCATGCTCATGCTCATGCTTATATTTATGCTCACACGTGCATCAACATCAAGCACATGATGATTAGATATGCTTTTCCAAATACAGACTTACTTTAGCCCAGAAAGCTACTAATACTACTACGTACATGGATATAAAGTTCATCAGCGATATCGGGATGAGGCGGGGGGGGGGGCGATATTGCCACAGTCCCATAGTCCACAC